ACACACCCAACTTCTCACCGTCAATGACTATGCCTTGTCTTTCCCTTCGCTGTTTCCCCCCTCTTCTGTGTTCTTTCTTTCTTTCTTTCTTTCTTTCTTTCTTTCTTTCTTCCTTCCTTCCTTCCTTCCTTCCTTCCTTCCTTCCTTCCTTTTTTTTTTAAAATTTTTTGAGACAGGGTTTCTCCTTAGCTTTTTTGTTCTGGCCACGAACTCACAGAGATCCGCCTGCCTCTGCCTCCCGAGTGCTGGGATTAAAGGCGTGCACCACCACCGCCCGGCTCCTTCCTTCATTTTTTTTAAAGTTTTTCAAGATAGGGTTTCTCTAACAGTCCTGGCTATCCTGGAACTCCCTTTGTAGACTAGGCTGGCCTCAAACTCACAGAGATCTGCCTGCCTCTGCTTCCTGAGTGCTGGGAATAAATTCGTGCGCCCCACCCCACTCTTCCGTGTTTGCTAAGCTCCTCTCCATTCTAGTGGAGTTTAAGGTCTCCTTTGGACTCCTTCCTTGCTGTCACCTGCTGTGTTGTGTCCTAGGGAAAAGGGAGTGCCTGTGTGTCTCAGGTTGTAGCAGGGTAAACACTATTGTTATTTACCCATGTAGTTTGTCACTTCTAGAGGAGACTCTTACTTTTGAGAACCCAGTCTACTGTGCCAGATAAGGTACTGAGGAAGACAACAGTGGAAAAGATATGTCTATCCTTACTGGAATTATAGTAGAGGAGGTGGCCTTGGATGAATTCTGCATTTTTCCATTTCCTGTGAGATTAAGTCTCTTTTTGTTTGTTTGTTTGGTGTACGTGTGTGGGTAAACATGTGCAGTGTGTGCGGGTCAGAGAATAACAGGGAGGAGTCGGGTCTCACCTTCCACCATGTGGGTCCTCTAGGTTTGGCAGCGGGTTCCTTTACCTGTCGAGCCATCTTACCAGTTCTGGAAACAGGTTTCTTGATTGTAACCCTGGAGCACTACCACTGTATCATCGTTGTTTATGTGACAGTCCCAGACTATACTGGAAGTTTCGTGGACACGTCGTGATGGGGTTTATGCTATCTGCACTCTAGTATACATAGAAAAGTAGCTCAATGAGTAAGGTCAGAGCGACACCACGTACTTACACAGTGCTCACTGTATGCCGAACACGACTCTAAGGGTTTTCCATATGCTGATGGACCTAAATTTTCATCACATGGTTATAAGGGGCACAGTCTCACCCACGCGTTAGAGGTGAAGAAACTGAGACGCAGCAAGTGTCACACAGCTACTGAGATTGAGTCAGTATCGTCTTCTGGTCTTCCTGACTCCAGCATGTTTGCTTATGTGCTCTGCTGCCTTGGAGCATGGGCGGAACGACGCTGGTGGGGTCACACGTCTTCATCCCCTTGGGTCTCTCCTTACTACCAGTGTGTAAACTGCTGAGCATGGAGCTTCAGGAAGAGCTGAGTCGCACCGGTCGATCTCGAGAAGTGCTGGAGCTGGGGCAGGTGCTAGACACGGGCAAGAGGAAGAGACACGTACCCTACAGCCTTTCGTGAGTCTCTGTGCTAACCCACATCTAACCAACCTCAGAGGAGCTGCCAGGCTCCTGACACGTCACGGAGTCGTATTTCCTTGTTCCCACAGCGAGACAAGATTGGAAGAGGCTTTGGAGAATTTATGTGAGCGGATCCTGGACTACAGTGTTCACGCGGAGCGCAAGGGTTCCTTGAGATATGCCAAGGTCAGGCGTTTCCTAGGAACGGCCCTGCTACTTTTTGTTTCTTTCCCCCAAGGCTTTGCATGTGCCCTTGTGTGTTCATGTATGTGCACGCGGGCATGTAGAGAGGCCCGAGGACAGCTTTGGGCATTTTTCCCTCGGAGCCATCCACCTTGTTTTGTTTTTCCGCAATTATTTCATGTGTGAAATGTGTCCCAACACACTACTCAGGTCAGAGGACAGCTTGTGGGAGTTGGGTCTCTCCACCATGTGGGTCCTGTGGATAGAATTCAGGTCACTGGGCTTGGTGGGAGACACCTTTACCCACAAAGACATCTTGCCATACCCAACTTGTTTGTTGTTTTTTTTTTTTTTTTTACCGAGACAGGGCTTCTCTGTGTAACAGCCTTGGCTGTCTTGGAACTTGCTCCTTAGACCAGGCTGGCCTTGAACTCACAGGGATCCAGCTGCCACTGCCTCTTGAGTGCTGGGATTAAAGGCTTGTGCCACCACACCCAGTTCCTACCTTGGTTTTTGAGACAGGGTCTCCCTGGCTTACTGACTTTCTAAATAGGCTAGGCTGGCTAGTCAGAGAACCCCAAGAATCCACCTGTTTGTTGTTCTCCACTGGTGCAATTGTAAGCCTGTGCTGCCATGCCTTTTTTTTTTTTTTAAATATGGATTCTGGGGATTGAACTCAGGTCCTCAGGCATTTTACGAACTGAGCTCTCTTCGCCAGCCCAGGACCCTGTTTCTCAGACACAAAGACCTATATCATCGAAGATCTTCGAGGAATGATTGGCAATCAGACTCCCTCACAGAACACACTATGGAGACTCCCGCAGTTGATAGGGCTGATGTGGGGAAAATGGAGAAGGTGGGTGGGACTGATACCAAATTTTCCATCCCGCAGGGTCAGAGTCAGACCATGGCCACACTGAAAGGCCTGGTACAGAAGGGAGTGAAAGTGGATCTGGGGATCCCTCTGGAGCTGTGGGACGAGCCCAGTGTGGAGGTCACATTCCTCAAGAAGCAGGTAGGATGGGGGGCTGCTCTGTCCAGAGGTGAGAGGAGCTACATCCTGGAACTCAGTGCAGGGGATGTCTGCCTTTGAGCAGGGAGGAGACAAAGAGTGAAGGCAGTGCCATTTATTGAGAAGTTATATTGCGGGGCTGGAGAGATGGCTCAGTGGTTAAGAGCATTGCCTACTCTTCCAAAGGTCCTGAGTTCAATTCCCAGCAACCACATGGTGGCTCACAACCATCTGAAATGCGATCTGATGCCCTCTTCTGGCCTGCAGGCAGATACACAGACAGAATATTGTACACATAATAAATAAAAAAAAATATTTTAAAAAAAGTTATATTGCAAGGCTGATAATATCTCTCACTGCGTACTGGGTGCCTACTATGTTCTGGGTTCTGGGCCACACACTGCTGCCTTGTGTTACTCCCATATCCCAGGTGTGATTACCAGTTCCTACTTTACAGGCTAGAATTGGAGACATACTGAGTTTCTGAGACAGGATTGCACGTAGTCCAGGCTGGCCTGAAAACTCGCTATGTAGTTGAGGATGAACTTAAATATATGACCCTTCTGCCTTCACCTCCTCACTGGGACTACACACATGGCCACCTAGCTGCGTAGATATACTGTGTATCAGAGAGTAATAGATCCTGGCAAGTGCTGAATGAAGAGAATCACACATCTAGTAACACAGTCCATGGAGAAGGAAGACCGGGAATGAAGAGCAGAGTCTTCCAAAGCCCATCTGAGCAGACCCTCTTCCCGCTCTTCCCCAGTGCGAGACTATGCTGGAGGAATTTGAAGATGTTGTAGGAGACTGGTATTTCCACCATCAGGAGCAGCCCCTGCAGCATTTTCTCTGCGAAGGTCATGTGCTTCCAGCCTCTGAGACTGGTAAGTGTAGAGGTTGGGCCTCTCCTCTCCTGCTTCCCGCACCCCAGCATTACTACTGAATTGTCTGCTCCCATTCCACCTAGCTTGTCTACAGGAAACCTGGACTGGAAAGGAGATCAGTGATGGGCAGGAGGAGGAAGAGGAGGAGGAAGAAGAGATCACCAAGGCTTCAGGCAATTCCAAGCATGACCCAGAGGACCTTTGAACCCCCAGGAGGGGTCACGGGGAGTGTTCTAAACTCACTCTCCCTTCCCCACGCCAAGACTTGTAACCGTCCTTTCCCTACGATCTCAGGCATGATCCTGGGGACCCAGAACGGCAACATGAGAGGAGAAAAACGTGCAAAGAAGCTGGGGCAAGTTTTGCCTTCAGGGATGAGCCACATGCCCGCCACGTAATTGACCAAATGCATGTGGTGATGGTGTTGAAGCTTTCTCTGTATTTTTCGGTCCTCACCTGCACCAATTGGTCAGTGATGGTATGAGCTGTGGGAAAGTCTCTTTGCTTTTTGGAGGGGGTCTATTTTGACCTGTTCAAGAGGCCAGACGAGGGCTACAGATGTAGCTCAGTTGGTAGAATGTCTACCTAGTGATGGACAAGGATGTGAATTGGATCACAGAAAACCTGATGGTGGCAAACCCCTATAATCTCAGCACTTGAGAATTGGAGGCAAGAATATCAGGAGTTCAAAGCCATCATCCAGCTACATGGTAGTTTCAAGACCAACCAGAGAACTACTTAAGTCCCTTTCTCAAAATAAGCCAAAAAGGGACGCTCACCAGCCTATATACACAGCCTGCAAACATGAGACTGTACACCATCAGTCTCTGAACAGGGCAGTGGAAGCAATGCCGATAGGTTAGGTGGATAGAGGTGTGATCTATTTCATATTTTATAGGTACCATATTTTCTATATCGCGATTAAATCTTTTCCGTATGACTTGACTGAGCCCCATTTCAAACATGCACACATTATCCGAGTACCCAAACAGTGGAGTCTTTGGCCTGCTGTCTATCAGCAGCTAATGGTGCTGATAATTTCGCGCCCCAAAGATACTGGCAGGGGTTGGGGAAGCAACCGAACCAGAGTAGAGGTACACGTTTATAAGCCTAGCACTTGGGAGGCGGAAGCGAAAGGATCAAGAGCTTAAGGTCTTCCTCAGCTACATAACAAGTTCAGGACCATCCTGGGCTACATGAGACCCTGTATCAGAAAATAATAATAATAAAAAAAACCCCAAAAACTCGAAGTTCGTGCAACACATGGTGTAAACTGTACAGAGATTAGAGTTAAGCAACGTGGCTAGCGCTTCAGCTGCCAAAATTTGTACGGGAGCCTGTGAAGAGCAAAATTCCTCCCGTTTTCCCGACTTTTGAATTTTCCCAGAGTAAAAAAGCCTTAAGAACAGCGATAGTTTGTTCCAAATTAGTCAACGGCTAGAGGCGAAGGAGAAAAAGGTATCCTTAAAATGTTGATGGGTGAAGAGCCACCGACTTACAAGCCTAATGGGACCCTGGCCAAGAAGTCTAGGAAGGCGAGGTCGCGTGGAAAGGCGGGTTGGGCGATACCATCTTAGGCGAGGGGTGGAGGGCGATACCACTTTAAGTACTGGGGGGTGGCAACGAGTCGAGAAGGAAAGCGTGGCAGGGCTTGCCGGAAGAATTGGGTTGTACTGGGCAGTCGTCCGTGTCTGCCATGAGCGGTCCAGTGCGAACTGAGCCTCTGCACGGTGAGACCCCTCTGCTGGCGACCAGCGACTCCCACTCGGTGATGGTTCTGCAGCGCGGCTTTGCGGAGCCGCAGGGGACGGGCGACGCGGTCCGTGCTGATGGCACTGTGACCCTCGTCCTGCCCCGGGCCTGGGCTTCGGGTTCCAGCCGCCCAATGGCCCCGTCCGCAGACGGCGGCACGAAGACTGCCCTGGAGGAGGCGGTGCGTGGCCCCATTCTCGTGGACACCGGGGGCCCCTGGGCTCGGGAGGCGCTGCTGGAAGCCCTCGCTAGGCATGGCGTGGCCCCCGGAGACGTGACTCTGGTGGTGGGAACCCACGGGCACTCAGATCACATCGGGAACCTAGGGCTGTTTCTCCAGGCGGCTCTGTTAGTGTCCCATGACTTCTGCCTTCCCGGGGGCCTCTATCTGCCTCATGGGCTGTGTGAAACGCAGCCCTTGATACTAGGCTCCGGATTGCAGGTGTGGGCCACGCCGGGCCACGGAGGACAGCGCGATGTGAGCGTCGTAGTGGAGGGCACCAGCCTGGGCACCGTGGTGGTGGCTGGCGATGTGTTCGAGCGCCTTGGGGACGAGGACTCTTGGCAGGCCCTGAGCGAAGACCCAGTAGCTCAGCAACGGAGCCGGGAGAGGATCCTGGGTGTGGCTGATGTGGTGGTGCCTGGTCACGGAGCCCCCTTTCGGGTGGTCAGGGAAGCAGTGAAGAGAACGGAGGATTTGGTTTGTGAAGATAAGGAAGCTACTTAACTAGACTCCCTCCCATCAAGAAAGTCCTTCCAGCGAGGAACTGGAGTCCAGGAAGCCGAAAGGACACAGGCAGAGCAAGCAAGGCTTGTCACGTTCAGCCTTTGCAGGAGGCAGCTTCCAAACAAGACGGAATGACTGACATCAACCACCTTTATCACTGTCTACAACCTAAGGAGGACGAAGGACTAGGTCAGCCCTGCATCCTCTGTGAGCTTCTGTAAAACACAGGAAAAAATTTTTTTCTTTTCTTTTTTTCAGAGAAAATATTTTTTTTAATTAAAATATTGATTTGGGGTGTGTGTGTGTGTCCGTGAAGAACTGAAAGCAACTTGGAGGAGTTGGTTCTCTCCACCCTGTGGGTCCTCAGGATTAAGTTCAGGTCGTCAGACTTGACGGCAGGCACCTTTACCCACTGAGCCATCTTGATGAATATTCTTGTTAAGATCTGCCAAAAAACAAAAACCCAAAACTAGGCGACACACTGCCCTGATGTAAATGCAAAATACTGATAACAATGATCATTGGGGGACTATAACCAGAAGCTGCAAGAGAGGAACATTGTGGACAATGGCTTGTCTCCCAGGATGCTTGCTGGTGAGAAAGTGCCAGATACAGAGATGAGATGACCCCTTAGTCACCTGACACACACACACACACTCTCTTAAGAGTCTCCTGTACTCCAGTCTGATTCCTGATTCTCTTACCTCCACCTCCCAAGTACTGGGATTACAGAATTACAGGCATGTGCGGTGCCACCTGGCCTTCACATGATGTTCGTTTATTCATGTATTCATTGAATTCACCCGGTGGACAATTATTCAACACCTGTAATGTCTCAAGCATTGATGTAGGTCATGTGATACCACTACAGTGAGCACGTGGTGGATCGCTGCCTCACACAGAAGTCATATGTTCCATTCAGAAGACAGATGAGTAAACATAATAATAGTAGCAACCAAATAATTATGGGTTGAGGACAGGCTAGAGAGCAGGGCTGGGGGAGACTGCCTGATGTTGAAAAGCCTCTGAACGATGTTGCTTCTTTGTTTATTTTTACATTCATTTATTTATTTTAGAGGGTGTATGTGCAAAAATTTGAGCTATACATAGCTTATCCATGGATGTCAGGACAAGTTGCAGGAGTTGGATCTCTCCTTCCACCATGAAGGTTCTGAGGGTCAAACTTAGGCCATCAGGCTTAGCAGTAAGCACCTTTATCAGCTGAGCCATTTCTGTGGCCCCTGGGTTTTGTTTTTGTTTAGGGTCTTTTGTGACTCAGGCTGGCCTTGAACTTGGTATAGTTGAGGAAGGCGTCCTCTTGCCTCTATCTCCACCTCCGCCTCTATCTCCACCTCCGAAGTGCAAATGAGTACACTCGCAGGAAGCACAGGTGAGCACTCGCAGGAAGCACAGGTGAGTACTACCAAACATAACTTTTGTTTTTGAGACTGCCTTGCTCTGTAGCCCAGGCTCACCTAGAATTTACTATGTAACCCCAGATGGCCTCAAAATTGTCAATCCTCTTGTCTCATCTTCCTGGTTGCTTTGATTTCAGGGGTGAGGCACCAACCACATCCAGCTCGTGAGAAGGAGTTTGACTAAAGAACTGAGTGGGGAGAAAGCTGCCTCCCTGAGGATCTGAGAGAAAGGTGTCCGTGGCAGCAGTACAGTAGATGTAATTCTCTGAGCCACAACAGTTTGACCGATTTGAGCAGCAAGAAGACCTGTGAGGCCTTGGGAAGTAACTTAATACAGTGCTTGTCCAGCATGCACGAAGTACTGAGTGTATGACATACACCTATAACCCCAGTACTTGGGAAGTGGAGGCAGGGGGATTAAAAGTTTAAGGTTATCCTCAGTTACAGAGAAAGTTGGAAGCAGGTTGGGCTACATGAGACCTACTCACAAAAATAAAAAGGAAGACTCATGGGGCTGGCCTGCAAAGGGACAGGAAAGTGTTAAGGAATGAGGGTTCACATCGGCAAGCCTGAGTATCGGGAGCTATTGAATACCAGCCTCAGCACTCCCTCAGAGTTCAGAACAGGACTTCTAGGGCAAAGGAAAACTGGCTTACGAACTGGATCCGAGGGGTAGGACAAACTGACTGACTTAGGCACATTTTTTCCTGCATTTTTTTTTTTATTCCTTGGGGGAAGATGAAAGAAGGGAGAAGAAAAAGCAGAAGGCAGAAGGGATAATCTCTATAAAACTTTTGGCTTATATAGGCATACAGACAAGTTAGCAGTTCCATAGGTGGTAACAATAGTATCAAGCATGCATTTTCTTTTTCTTTCTTTTTTTTTTTTTCCTTTTGGCATAGTCAAGTAATATTAAGCATGCATTTTCAGAGTCACAAAACCATTGGATCTGGCAAGGAGACACCTTATGTTTCAGAGGGGGCGTGGCTGGCGGCTGGGAACACAGCATTGGTAGCTATACTGGCCTGTGGGCATGATTTGCATGAGAGTCTAGCTGGTTGAGTTAAAAGGAAAAAAAGAAATCTCTTCTGGGGACCCAGTTTTTGACTCCAGCAGGGTGCCCAGGTGAGAATTTTTCTCTCTGAAGCTAGTTTTAGTGACTTAGCCTTTTCCCTGTATAAACAGTTAATTTCCTGGGCTATGAATTTATGTTAGTTGAAATTAAGGTGAAGGGTAAATTCAGAATATTAGTAACTTGTTTAGAGCAAGGGCCAGTAGATTACACCTTCCTGAGTCTGCTGTTAGAACAGATATATTATAACCTCCTGTAATATGAGGCTCCTTTCTTATCAGTGACTACTGTCAGTAAACATAGTGTGGGGGACTATTTTTTATGTAGATTTTGGCTATAAAAACAAAGGCTTGACTGAGCAAATCCTTTTCACACCATGGCTTCATGTTCTGAGGGCAGGTATCCCAGTTACCCTACAGGAAAAGTTAGGTTTATACACTGCTGGTAATATTCTTTTTTTAAAAATGCTGCAAGATCCCTGCAGCAGTAGGCAGCAGAAATGCTGTAGGTCCCAAATGGTGTTAGCCAGCCATGTGGTGGCAGGCAGCGGGCTCTGGGAGCAGCCAGTCCCAGGCAGAGTCAGCTGCTGGTCCCTGAGCAGTGGCTGGTCCCAGGCAGGGAGACACATGGCAGGCAGGCAGGAGACAGAGACATGGATTAGACACGACATGAAGAGTGAAGTTGAATATTTATTTAGGGGGTTATGAAGGTGAAAGGGAGAAGGGGGCGGAGAGAGAGAGAAGAGAAAGCGACAGAGAAGGGGGGAGGTGGAGAAGTGGGGAGAGAGGCAGAAGCGAAGCTACTTCTCCAGGAGGAAGATGGAAAAGAGCAAGCTCAGGCGGGAAGCTGAAGATCAGCCTGCCGCAGCCGATGGGGGAAGGAGTGGGCGTGGCTTGTCTCTTAAAGAGACAGAAAACCATAACAGCTGGGATAGTATAGAAGGGGGAAATGCCATGATTTCACAAGATTTCTACAGAATTGACAGTGGCTTATCCAAAGGACAAGTGTTCCCGTAGCTCTGCAAAAATGGCTTAGTCTAAGTGCATGTGTATGTGTGTGTACACTTCCCGTGGATAGTCCAACCCACCTGTCAGCTGTACATTTACTTGTGGACTCACCACACCTGGGAATCATTGTAACGTGGAAGCCACTGGCTTAGAAACAGGCTAGAACAACTTGTTTTCAAATAATCATTCTTTCAGGGCTCTGTGACTCACTTCTCTAATCCCAACACTCAGGAAGTAGGGGCAGGGGGGGATCAAGAGTTCAAGGCCATCCTCAAGCTGCACAGTGAGTTTGAGGCCAGCCTGGACTAGGTCTCAAACTAATAAGTAAAACACAAATAACCACTTGATCTGAGTGGAGGAGGTCTTAGTGTGGAGCAAGAACAGGATTGGATAGATTAGTAGGAAGTGTTAGAGCAGTGTTTCTCAACCTCTGGGTCTCGACCTCTTTTCTTGGGGGAGGGGTGAGGTTGAATGACTTTTTCACAGGGAATGCCCTAGGCTATCAGTAAACACATATTTACATTACGATTCATAACACTAGCAAAATTAGAGTTATACAATTGCATCAAAAGTAATTCTGTGGTTGGGGAGGGGTATCCACAACACGAGGAACTGTATTAAAGAGTCTCAGCATTAGGAAGGTTGAGAACCACAGTCCTAGAGTGAGAGAACTTATAGGTACCTGCCCTTATTCCAGTGTTATTGTGGCTGTGAGTGTAATGGTTTGTCCTGTCCCTTTAAGAGACAAGCCCCACCCACTCCCTCCCTGGTCAGCCGAGGCAAGCAGATTTTCCTTCTGCTTCCAGCCTGAGTCCCTCTCTGGAAGAGGCAGCTTCTGCCTCTCTCCCTTCCCCCCAATTCTCCCCCTTCCCCCCAATTCCTTTCTCTCTCTCTCTCTCTCTCTCTCTCTCTCTCTCTCTCTCTCTCTCTGTTTTTCTTTCTCTCTCTGCCTCTCTTCTTCTCCCTTCTCCCCTTTCCCTTTTCCCTGCATAACCCACTAAATAAATATCCAACCTCACTCTGCATGGCGCACATCTAACCAGTCTCTGTCTTTCACCCACCATGTGGCTCCCTGCCTGGGACTTGCTGCCCCTTGTGGCCTGAAGGCCTCTTGGGGAATGGTGTCATTTTACTTTTACCATAACATTTGGTGCTCATGACTCAGCCAGGCTCTCTCCACGTTCCCTTCAGCCTGCTCATGGGCTGGCTGAGAACATGTGGAACCCTGGGCTCGGGAACCAGGTTTTTTTTTTTTTTAACAACAGCTCTGCGCAGATACAGCCTGAATGCGGACCTCTATGCACACCAGCAGCTTCAGTGGTGAGTTTTCCCCTTCTAGCCTCCAACCACAGCCTTCATGGCTATGGTTAACCCTTCACTGACACTCATCTCTGGTTGCTTCCCATAGCTAAAAATGTGATTGGACCACTCAGGGTTGGTCCTCCCGCACTAGCACTGTATACACTGTGTGGTGCATTTAGTTTGGGGTCTGGGGTCCCTCGGATTTTTCTTTTTCTTTTTTTTTTTTTTTTTTTTTTTTTTTTTTTTTTTTTTGGTTTTTCGAGACAGGGTTTCTCTGTAGCTTTGGTGCCTGTCCAGAACTAGCTCTTGTAGACCTGGCTGGCCTCGAACTCCCAGAGATCCGCCTGCCTCTGCCTCCCGAGTGCTGGGATTAAAGGCGTGCGCCACCACCGCCCGGCCTCTTTATTATTTTTTTGGAACACTTGTAAGTGGTCCCTGCTGTGAGAGATCACTTGGAGCAGCCTCTAGCCTCTGGCTTCTGAGTCACCCAGACTTGAGCCAGTCAGGCTTTAACACCCTGCCTGTAAAGAGGAGATGTCCTTCTGTAGGCCCTGCGGTGTTTGTTCTCTGTTTTCACGTTTTCAGCTATGGTATATGTAATGTTAAGTTGGGAGTGTCACCCTAGCCCCTGGCATCCATCCCAGCCCCATGGCCTGGGAGTTGTGTTGGTCTGGACTCCAAATTTCAGAATGCCAGGTTCTGACCCCTCCCGGGGAAGGGTCAGGACCACTCCCACAAGGTATTTAAGTGGGTGCCCAGAGGAAGAACACATGGTCCTGGGTTTTGCATGTGCTCCCCTGTTTTCTGTCTCCCCTGCCATGGTCTTGGTCACCCGGGAGTGCTCTATTTAAGAAAACATGAGCATTTATTTTGGTTTGATTTGACCTGATTGGATTTCTTTGTGCCAACGGAGCAGCTCATCTTAGGATTTTTCCTAATATATGGAAGTCCCATCAAGATTCCCTTCCCACGCTCCACCAGGCACATTGTCTTCACTTGATAAGTTCCCCTTTTTAAACTGCATGTGGGCAGGGTTTTGGGGTAACCCATTTGCTTTTCAGGCTTTTGTTGAAGTCTTGGTCATGCCAAAAGCCTGATCCCTGTGGTGAAAGCCAGAGCCTTTCGCTGAGATGGGATTTGGTTGCAGGGAGGCGTCTCTCACTCATTTCCCATGCACCACTGTATTTGATTCAAGGACTCTGTTTAATGGATGCATTGCAATGGGCTCGAGTCATTTACACATGCATTGAAAATGGGTTTCTTGCAATTCCAAGCTGATTTCAAAGTGGCCCTTAAGCAGCCATTTACAAAAATCCTTTTAAATTGGGACTGTCTAACTTAAAGCCCACATTTTTCTAAATGTGTGCTCTTGTCCCCCCACTTCCACCTCTCTCTCTTTGCTGACTCATCGTCAGCACTTTTCCACCCCCCCTTCCTCCCCTCTGTAGCCTCTGGAGTGCTCCACCGCTGCATACCAGAAAGTACAGCTGTTTCAGAGATCTAAAGCCTACAGGGCTCCAATGCCCTTAGGATCCACTTTAAACAGGTCAGATACACCCCTCTCAATTCCCTGGTTCTAAATTTTTTTCCTAAACTTAACTTTGTCTTCTATTCTGCCAGTACCTTAAACAGGTATAAGAGACACCAGACATTTTCATACCACAAACACTGGACAGGAGCAAAGAGACCAGCTTTGCCAGGATGTGACCAGTACCTAGCTTTCTCAAGTTCCCCCCACACAGACAACACCCACAAATAAGCAGGAAGCATTCTTGGGAATCTGCCATCCCAATTCCTTTAGCCTGTTGTGCCTAATCTCCTACCTTTTTTATTATAAAAAGAAATGGGAATGTAATGGTCTGTCCTGTCCCTTTAACAGACAAGTCCCACCCCCTCCCTCCCCCATCCACTGAGGCAAGCAGATCTTCCTTCTGCTTCCAGCCTGAGTCCCTTCCTTTCCATCTCTCCCCACTTTTCCCCTTCCCTTCTCTCTCTGTTTTTCTTTCTCTCTCTGCTCTTCTACCTTCTCTGCTTCTCCCCTTTCCCCTTTCCCTCTATAACCCACTAAGTAAATATCCAACCTCACTCTGCATGGCATGCCTATCTGTCTCTGTAACATACTTTTTGACTTAAATTTTGAAGTCAAGGCATTTTCAAAATATTTATGTTGGATTAATCCAGAAGCATTTATAATCAAATATCTTTTAGCAGCTTTTGCTCCTTCCTCAGCCATCAAACAATTCAAAGACAACACAATAACATAAAGTATCCAGACTCTCTGTATATTTTTCATCTTTATGTGTCTTTATTTTAAACTCTATTTTTTTCTTTTTCTTTTTAATTTTTGGCTTTTTGATACAGGATTTCTCCGTGTGTATCTTTGGCTGTTCTGGAACTCATTCTATAGATCAGGTTGTCCCTGAACTCACAGAGATTTGTTACTTTGGAGAAGAGGTTTAGCTTTTGTTTCCACAGGAAATGAGAAGCTGTGGATTTATTCTGGGCTAAGAAAAATCAGGTTTGACCAAGGAAGACCCCCTAAAAGAATCTCCAATAGGAGCAGATGGTCCAGATGATCTAACATTTCAGAGGATCTCTGTTGGAGTTTCCTCTGAGTTCTGCATCCAGAACAGTTTCAAGACTGTTGGCTGAGATGATCAAGCCTCACATAATATTCCATTCAGGACTTAACCATAATTCAAAATTTTCTTTAGGTCCACATAAGATTATTAACACCCCCAATCAGCAGGAAGTTGCTTAGAAAACTATGCTCACAGTCCCAAAAAATGGTTTATGGATGCTTGCCTTTGTTTAGAATGTTGGTTACAAATTGTTATGGATAATGGTCAGGAGAAAAGCTAACCAAAGGAGATTTGATTCAGAGTTCTTTTTTTTTTTAAAGGGGGAAATGCTGTGGGACAATGGTTTGTACCCTGTCAATTGTATTTTAATAAAACACTGATTGGCCAGTAGCCAGGCAGGAAGTATAGGCAAGGCATTGAGAACAGGAGAATTCTGGAGAGAGGAGAGGTTCATTCTGCAGTTGTCACCAAGATGCAAAGGATTCAAGATGTGACTGCCTCGCCAAAAAAGTTACCAAGCCACATGACATGGCTAACACAGACAAGAATAATGAATGGGTTAATGCTAAGTGTAGAATTAATTAATAAGAAGCCTGAGCTACTAGGGCAACCAGTTAATGATTAATGTAGACCTATAAACGACTGTGGGACCTGGTGGGATGTCAACATCAGTCTTAAATAATTCTGCCCCTACCCGTGGTTAAGTCAATGGAGACCCTAGAGGGGGAGTGAGAATGGAAAGGGACAAGAGACACAAGAGATGGAGACAAGACAGAATTCTGATTAAGTCCTGTTTATTTAAGGGAATAAGCAAGGTAAATATAGGGTAGGAAAATGAGAAAGTTCTTTATGTGTATATGGGTAACTAGGCAACTTTCTAGGCAACCTAACCATGGTCTGATGGTCAGGCAGAAAGTCCCTAACTGCAACATGCAGAAAAGTCAGAATGTTCAGAACACAGGAACAATGGAGCAATAACTCCTTGCAGAGTTAGTGTCTGACAGATCAGAACAGCAGGAGAAGCCAAGTGCAACAGGGTGGGTGAAACTGATCCAGGGAGCAGTAAGTCTCCCACAGGTAGGTAGGGAGCAGTAAGTCTCCTACAAAAGTTGTTTTGGACTTTCTCTTTATGACTGAAATTTCAGCTTTTCTTTTTATACACACAGTAAAAAGTATGTCGTTTAATCTTGGAAAGGTGTGTGGGAATGATTTATCTCTCAGCTATGTTCAAGGACACAATGTTTTTATTCTGCCAATTACTCTCTCTTTGTTCTGAAGGATGTGGCATTTTCACTTTTAGGATATTTCCTTTGCTGTCTCAAAGTGAAGGGGTCAGCTCATCTGTAGACAAGGTGGACACTTCTCAGTAAACATGACTGGATCTGTAAAGGGGTAGGGGCAAATTTGCTACTACTCTGATATTTGAACACTTGATCCCCAGTGGATGGCACTGTTTTGGGGGAATGTTACAGACCCTTTAGAATAGTGGTTTTCAACCTTCCTGATGCTGTGACCCTTCAGTACAGTTCCTCATGTTGTGGTGACCTCAACCATAAAATTATTTTCGTGGCTATTTCGTAGTTGTAATTTTGTTACTGTTAGGAATTTTAATGTAACTATCTAATATTTCCGATGATTTTATGTGACCCCTGTGAAAGGGTCATTCAAACCCCCAAAGGGGTCATGACCCACAAGTTGAGAACCACTGCTTTAGGAGGTGCTGCCTTGCTGGAGGAAGTATATTATTAGGGGAGGAGTTAGGGGGGTTATAGCTTCACCCCGTTTCTAATTATGTCTCTACTTCCTAATGTAATTTCTCCGCTTCCTGCTTCTGCTTCCATGCCTGCAGCTTGCTCCACTATTTAGATTCTCCCTCTCCCACTTGGACTCTTTTTCCCTGAGATGCTTTCATCACAGCAAAAGGGAAGAAGCTGACACACTAGTGGACCCGCGCTGATGGAGCAGCTAGAGCTGTGAACCACCGAGTCCATCACTCCTGCGCCAAACGGTTACTCTTTTCCTCTAAACCTGTAGTTTGTTGAGGGCTAGTTAGATTAGTGCATGCTAGCAGGGTCCTGGGTTTCTGTTATCATTGTCTGGACCTAAGCTAAGGCACTTTGGAAATGGACCATTCTTCTTTCTAACATACACAAGTGTCCACAATGGAGCCACACTAGAGTCCAGGAAATTTTCTCATTTTATCTTTTGTGTGGCTTTGCTTATCTTCCTAACTTTAGACATTGAAACTCTAACCACTGACAGGACTGTGTTTGGAAATCCTGACTTGGAGAGGGTATCACAGAGGTCTGCCTGCCTCTGCCTCCTGAGTACTGGAATTAAAGGTGTGAGCCACTGTGGCCTGGCGATTTAACTTAAATCTTAAGTAAAGTTAAATGAGATGTTTTGTTTTATTTTTCTTCTTTCTAATGTGGTCTTGAGTTCTTTCCAGAGAGTCATTAGTACTTTAACCCTGCTTTGATGCAGCTCCTATGTATTACATACCCATTATACTCTAGTGAGGGGCTGGGGTGTGGCTCAGTGGTATCTATCAGTGTCTACCATGTCCAGGCCCTGGGATCCATGCCCAGAGATACAAAATTAAGAAGCAGACAAATGCACGAGTGAGTCCGACAAAAGTGGAAACATCCGGGTAAGACTGTTAGTCTCCTTCTCACGTTCGCATCCTGACTGTGTATACACAGTTCTCCAAGACATTGTCATCAGGAGAAACTCAGTACAAGGTACAAGGGATCCCTTTCTGTTATTTCTCAACAATTGCAAAATCTGGGCTGGAGAGGTGGCTCAGTGGTTAAGAGCACTGGCTGCTCTTCCAGAGGTCCTGAGTTCAATTCCCGGCAACCACATGGTGGCTCACAATCATCTGTAATGAGGTCTGGTACCCTTTTCTGGCCTGCAGACATACACACAGACAGAATCTTGTATCCATAATAAATAAATATAAAAAAAAAAAAACGAGCCATCTCTATAACCCTAACACTTGCCTTAAAAAAAATGAGTGGGGCCGGGTGGTGGTGGCGCACGCCTTTAATCCCAGCACTCGGGAGGCAGAGGCAGGCGGATCTCTGGGAGTTCGAGGCCAGCCTGGTCTACAGAGCTAGTTCCAGGACAGGCTCCAAAACCACAGAGAAACCCTGTCTCGAAAAAAACCAAAAAAAAAAAAAAAGAGTGGGTAAGGATGCAAACATGAGGGCCTGAGTGTAAAAACCCAACACTACATAAAAAAAAACTGATATGAACTTTGTGCTGTAAGCCCAGGGCTGTGGGTGACAGACACAAAAGGATCCATGAGGCTTCTGCCTGCCAGCCTAGCTCCAGGTCCAATGAGAGACCCTCTCTCGAGGGAATTAGGTAGACAGTGATAGAACAGGACACTCTAAGATCTCCTCTGGCCTCTGTGTACACATGGGAGAGGGCACCTATATGCACATGTGTGCATACACCAAACACAACCTTTCACGTTCAAAAAAAGACACTATGTAAAATATCATCTCATTTATATAAAATTAGACTTATCCGTGTGGTCCATAGAAAGATGTATAAAATATGGTGACCCGAGTGTTACAGTGGGTGAGCCAGGGGTAGCCTCAGCTACCCATCATTTGCTGTCCATCTTTTTGATGGCCCCCACTCAGGCTCTGCCTCCATTCATTCTCAGGTCCCCCAGGAGCACTCAGGTGGGACAGATGAAGGACAGGAATAATTCCACTTCATTGCGGACAATAAGCCTCTTTGGGTGGATGTTGTCCGGTACAGCCAAGCTGGAGGTCATTTCCCATGCATCCACAAAGGCCACTTGGAGACCATCAAAGGCAGCTCGGAGGAACCTGTTCACCTGGATTGTGAGCCAGTCACTGCCATACACGGATTTGTAGCCAGTATTGGCCAGTTTGATAACCACCAGAGTACTGGGTTCCCTGTCCAGCAGGGCTTTCACAGCTTCCCGAATCCCTGCCAGTCTTCGAGCAAAGATGGATGGAGGGAAGGTGGTGAAGTGGGCTCCCATACCGAGCACCACCACTGTGTAGGGACCCCCGGCCAGGCCATGCAGAACTCTGGCCACAGAGTGCAAGGAGGCCACTGGAGTGCGATGAGAGCGCAGGGGCCAGCTGTGGGCCCTCCAGTGCAATACTGTCCCCCGAGTTGTGTCCACAGCCATCAGGGGACCTGCCTGATATTGGACATGTAGATCAACTGGCTTCAGAGCTGTCGGGAGGAGGAGAAAGAAAATATTAACATAGGGGATCAGGAAGGTGTCTCAGATGACAGCCCTGGTGCCTTGAGTTTGAACCCCTAAGATTCATAGGGTGGGAGGAGGGAAACAGCTCTTGTACATTGTCCTAGGATCCCCTCACACACATGGTAGCAATGATTGTTCATATAGACGCCAAATAAACAAGTGTTATGAAAATTTAATAGCTGAATTGTCAATTATCTTCTTGTACAAGTATACATTCCTACTTTTGGGGGTGGGGAACAAGGTCTCACTGTGTAGCCCTGGCTGGCCCAAAACTCTCTATGCAGACCAGGTTGACCTTGAGGTCACAAGTCTGCTCGTATCTGTTTCCAGATTGGGAACATTAAAGGTGTGCAACACTACAGTGTGTGTGTGTATATGTGTGTGTGTATATATATGTTTGTGTGTGTATATATATATGTGTGTGTATATATGCGTGTATATATATGTGTATATATATGTGTGTATATATATGTGTGTGTATATATATGTGTGTGTATATATATGTGTGTATATATATGTGTGTATATATACGTGTATGTGTGTGCATATATATGTGTGTATATATGTGTGTGTAATATATATTACATGTACATGTCTCAAAAACATGTTTAATATACATATTACACATATGTAGAAACACAAGTCCTCTGCAAGCACTCATCCCTGAGCCATGTTCAAGCCCTTAATTCTATAAAATTTTGGCTCTGTTACATACTTTTCTTCTTTTTTCTTTCTTCTTTGTTCCCTTGTTGTAGGAGAGGGGGCTATCTCATAGCCCAGGCTGATTGATGGTGACCTTGGACTCTTGATGGACCTGTCCCCACGTGCAGAGATTACAGTCAGGCCCTACCAAGTCCCATGTTGCCACCTGTTTTTCCACCTCTCCTTCCCTCCCATCCTTTCCTTTCCCTGCCCTTTTCTCCTCCCCTTACCTCTTTTCCCCACTTCCATTGTGTTGCTGTGTGAAGATATGTGGTTATGACATATGTGTGTGAGTGTGCACAGAGTGTACCATGGAGTGCACATGCACATGGAGTCAACTTTTGAGAGTCAGCTCTTCTTGCACCACGAAGGTTCTAGGATTTGAATTCAGATCACCAGGCTTGCATAGCAAATGCCTTACCCTGCTGAGATGTTTTTCTGGCCTCCGCCCATTTTTCTTTACCATCTTTACCTGCAAGGAATTCAGCCACTTCCTTCTCTTGGGTTTTTGTTGAAGAGTTACTGACTCCTGCGTCTCATTCCATACTTCAAGAGGAACATTATCTAATGTTTCTCTGTTGCCTTAAAAAGGAGCGTGGATAAAAGAAGCCTACTGTCTCTACCCAATTTGCTCTCGACTTCCTGAATTTCCCCTGCATCCCAATCAACTAATACCTTGATAATGACCTCCAGATGTTTTTGTTCTCATTGCTTGTTTTTGTTTTGAGTCAAGGGCTCATGTAGCCCAGGCTGGCCTCAGCCTTTCTAGAAAGCCAAGGAAGACCCTGAACTCCTTATCCTTCTGCTTCTACCTGAGTGTACTACTAAACCTAGTTTTTTTCTCTCTTCTTTACTTTCTTTATTTTTATTTTTTAGAAGGATCTCACTGTATTGCTCTGTGCTGTCCCTTTAAGAGACAAGCCATGCCCATTCCCTCCCCCAATCCACCGTCAAGGCAAGCTGATCTTCGGCATCCAGCCTAAGTCCCTTCCTTTCTGTCTCTCTCTTGAAGAGGCAGCTTCTGTCTCACCCTTCTCTCCTTCCCCCTCTCTGTTTATCACTCTCTGCTCTTCCCCCTTCTCCACTTCCCTTCCATAACCCACTAAGTAAATATCCAACTTTCATTCTGCATGGCTTTACTATCTGGCTCAGTCTCTCACTTGCCATGTGGCTTCCTGCCTGGGACCTGGCTGCCTTCGTGGCCTACCATGGTCTCAGGACCCACTGCCGACTGCCTGCTGCCACGCGGGGACCTGCGGCATGGTCTCATGGTCCACAGTCCACTGCCCACTGCCGCCACTTGGGAACCTGCAACATTTTACTTAAACCATTACATTCACGGTGTGTCCATGGCTGTCCTGCAGCTCACTAAGGTGGCTAATTCCAAGTTACTTAAGTTGTGGACACATTTGGTAATGTGCTTGCAGTGCAAACATGAGGACCTGAGTTGGAGCCCCCAGAGCCTAAGTGTGGGGGGCTGGAGAGATGGCTCAGTGGTTAAAAGCATTTGCCTGCTCTTCCAAAGGTCCTGAGTTCAATCCCTGGCAACCACATGGTGGCTCACAACCATCTGTAATGAGGTCTGGTGCCCTCTTCTGTCCTGAAGGCATACACACAAACAGAATATTGTATACATACTAAATAAATATTTAAAAAAATAAAAAATAAAAAGCTAGGTGTGGTCATATATGCTTGGAATCCTAGTGCTGGACAGTGGGGATGGGTTCTCAGGTGTCCTAATTTGCTTTTTGTCAACTTAGTACAACCTACAGTTATCTGGAAAGAGAATTTGTAATTGAGAAAATGCCTCCATTGAGGCATGGGAGTCTCCTTCAATGTAAGTGTTGCCTGACTTTCCCATCATGAGTCCTCACAGGCCCTCCTCTGACCCCATGGCCACTCACAGGGCACTGTGTCTCGCAGATACTCCCACCACTGCCGAAGGGTGGAATCCCCCATCATGTAGACGATGCGGCCAGCCAGGCAGTTCAGGATGCTGTTCACAGTGGGGAAGGAGCGGCTAGAACAGAACGTTGAGTGCCATCTGTCTTGGTAGTAGAAGCCAGAGGGTTTTGGAGACAGGTGGCCAGGGCGGCATGGGGGCCGAGAGGGCAGGGCTATATAGGAGGGAGAAAAGCAGAGCAGAGTAACTTAGCAAAATATGGACATCTTATAAAATGTCAATATTCTTAATATTTTTGTAAATGAATCTTTATTTACACTTGTTTATTTGTGTGTGGATGTGTGCATGCCAAATCACACATGTGGTACTTAAAGGACAGCATTTGGGAGTCAGTTATTTACCTTTACCTGTATATCCCAAGGTTTGAACTCAGGTCATCAGCCTTGCCTACAAGCCCCTTTGCGCAGTGAGCCATTCCTATGCTCCAGTCAGGCATTCTTCTATATACCATATATGTAGCATATCAATGCCCTCTTACAGACCCTGTGAAGTGTGTATGTGTGTGTGTATGTGTGCACATGAGTGTTTGAAATAGTCTTATGTAGCTCATGGTAGCCATAAACTTCCCATGAAGCTGAGAATGGTCTTGACTTCCTAATCCTCTTGCCTTCACCCCTAGAGTGCTGGGACTACAGGTGTGTTTGTTCACAATCGCGATGTGGCACTCTCTGTAGCATGTAGCAGGCTTTTTCTTTTGGGCCATCAATCAACTCCCAAATCATAACACAGAAACTAACTATTAGTTAGGAATGCTAGCACGTACCTTATGCTTCTCCCATTAGCTCTTATAACTTGTTTCTCTTCATAGGCTTTGCCTCAGGGCTTTTTAACCTTTCTTTAGTTTTGCCTTTTCTTTCTTTTTTTTTTTTCAACTCAGTTTTTTTCTGTAGTTGTAGTTTTATAACCTGTCCTAGAACTTGCTCAGTAGACCAGGATGGCCTTGAACTCACAGAGATCTGCCTGCTTCTGCCTTCTGAGTGCTGGGATTAAAGGAGTGCACCACCACCCAGAGGTTTTTTTTTACCTATCTACCTCCCTTCCTTCCTTCCTTCCTTCCTTCCTTCCTTACTTCCTTCCTTCCTCCCTCCCTCCCTCCCTCCCTCCCCCCCTCCCTCCCTCCCTCCCTCCCTCCCTTCCTTCCTCTGTGTATACCTTACTTTCCTACCATCTCTATGACTGGCTGGTGGCTGCCTGACTTCTGGCCATGGGCATGCCCCTCTCTCCCTTGTTCACGTCTCTTTCCTTTCTTGTTCTCTGGAGCCTAGAGTTCGCCTCTTACTTATTCTCTCTGCCCTCCATCTTTTCTCTGCCTAGGTTATTGGCTGGTTAGCTTTTATTTATTGACCAATAAGGCACCTTAGGCAGGCAAGGTGAAACGGCCACACATCTTTTCTGTGAGAGCACGGAAATGGGAGCCTATTTCCAAGCTGACCAAAGGTTAGAGAGTTGGAACTTACCTCTAGGCCTTCAAGGTTATTGTGCTTCTACCTCAAAGGTTCTCTAGATTTAGACCAGAGAGTTCTGCTTTCTCAAGGTTATTGTCAACAGGTGTAGCTAATAGCCAGTCTTGTATTTCAAGAATAGAGAAGTAAATATCTTTCTACCTTAAAGAAAAGTCTATGGATCCAACTAAGTTCCAGTTCCCTTAAGGAGATAACTTTGGATTCCACCCAGGGAGTGTTTTGCCTACAGAATGTTTTGGTCTAGGGTGCGAGGGTGACTTGTTTTGTTCTAGCAACAAAATGTTTAACTATGGATGTAGCCTGCGACCTTCAACTGGTCTGTTCATTTCCCTGTATGATGTTAATACAGTTTTTTTTGTCTTATTCCTACCTTTGGGGTCAGGGGTATTTTAAGCAATTAAAAATTAAATGCAGGGGGGCTGGAGAGATGGCTCAGCGGTTAAGAGCACTGACTGCTCTTCCCGAGGACCCGGGTTCAAATCCCAGCACCCACATGGCAGCTCACAACTGTCTGAAAATCCAGTTCCAGGGCATCTGACACCTTCATACCAATGCACATAAAATAAAGCTAAATAAACCATAAAAAAATTTTAAAAAATTAAATGCAGGTGAATTCCAGTACTCACTGGAACTCCCTTCTGATATTATTCTATGTTTCTCTGTTTTATTATTTTCATTGGTGTCTTCATATTCTTTACAATATTTTCTAAATCCCCACACCTCTACCCTGGCAAGAGGTATTTTTGTTGAGGCTGGTCTCCAACACTTTCATAATTAGACAAATGCAGCATAAACAAATGTAATACATCTTTATATCGTTAACAAAGGCAGCAGAAACAAGTGCAACACCTTTACACAATTAAAGCAATATTCCACAGCATGAACAAATGTAACACATCTTTATATCGTTAACAAAGGCAGCAGAAACAAATGTAACACACTTTTACACAATTAAAGCAATATTCCACAGCATAAACAAATGTAACACGTCTTTACATAGTTAAATATTTCACAACTGTCTGTATCCATGTATAGATGGTGACACTGAGATCCTAGAACGTTAAGTGATTATGGTGATCAAGAACAAGGATGATGGGCCAAAACAGTAGGGATGACATTTTGTATCCTGTCCAAGTTAGGCAAATATTCTCCCATTAAGTTTATCTCCAGTCCATCAAGATTTGTTTTTTGAAGTTCAGTGACAGAGATAGCATTTGAAGCCAGAAAGTATGCTGTTATAGCCCTAGTACTAAACACTACTACACTTCCCTGGCAGGAAAGTCCTAAAGTACCAATCTAAGGTGTAATGGTCTGTCCTGTGTCTTTAAGAGACAAGCCATGCCCCCACCCATCTGTTGAGGCAGGCAGATCTTCCTTCCTGCTTGCAGCCTGAATTCTGAATTCCTTCCTTTTCATCTCCCTCTCAAAGAGGCAGCTCCTCTCTCTCTCTCTCTCTCTCTCTCTCTCTCTCTCTCTGACTCTATGTTCTTCTCTCCTCTCTGTTCCCTCCATAACCCACTAAATAAATATCCAACCTTACTTTGCATGGTGTGCCTATCCGACTATTTCTCACCCGCCATGTGGTTCCCTGCCCAGGACCAGCCACCTTCCAAGACCTGTGGCATGGTTTCATGGCATGCCCATCTGTCTGCCTGCACTTTAGAGACCTGTGACATGGTCTCATGGCCTGCTGCAGCCACTGGGGATCTGCAGAATTTTACTAATCCATTACATAAGGGCTGCAGAGCTGGCTCAGTGGGTGATGTACAGGCATGTGCAAGGGTAAAGACCTAAGTTTGACTCCTAGAACACATGTAAACACTGGGTGTGGTGTGCCTGGAACCCAAGCACCTGGGGAGGTGGAGACAGCAGATCCCAGGGGCCTACTGCCCAGTCAGTCTAGCTGAAACAGCAAACCCCAGGCTCGGTGAGAGACTTTGTTTGAAAAAATAAAAAGAGCCTTTATTTATGTGACCCTTTGTTTACTGTTCTAGAACATTGACCAGCTATCTAGGTCCTTCCTACATACACCTGGAACCCTTCCTCCAGCCTGGCACTGATGGCTGACAATCAGCACCTTCCCTGGCACGAGTGGTCGCCCACACCTGGGAACAACTCAAGTATCTCCCTCAGTGACCATCCATTTTGGGCTTAGAGGGTACTGGGAGTGGGATAGATCTCTGCCTCAGACACTTCAAGCGACTGGACACAGGCATCCCAAAGCTGCATGGCTGGCCACTTGTGACCTTGTGCCTGAGGCTCTAGACCTACCCCTGCCTCCTCTAGGGACACTGTATCTGGTATACTCCAGCCAAGAGCATAAACAACTGATATGTTTCACCCTGTGCCCAAATGTTCTTTAGTGGTTGAGCAGAATTTTTACATAGATTTCATTCTGATTGTGTGTGTGTTCATGTGAATTTTTTTCGAGACAGGGTTTCTCAGTAACTAATAAGCCAGTACTGGAACTCACTGTGTAGTTCAGGCTGGCCTCGAACTCACAGAGATCCCCCTGCCTCTGCCTCCAGAGTGGTGGGATTAAAGGTGTGCACCACAACCGCCGGCTTCATGTGGACTCTTAAGGACCATTCTGACTGGAGCTCTTTGTGCTGCTGGGAGGACCCTGCAGATCTTCCTTGTTTAGCATGCAGTCTCACCTTTGGGTTGGGCATATGATGGATCCAGGGGTTCCTTACTTCTTTGAGGGAAAAAGCCTTCAGTTTTTTTCATTATGAGGGGGTACCAAGAAAGAGACTGTGTCCCTTTGAATACCATGGGTTCCTGGTCATTAAAGGCCTCTAGGTAGTCACTGTGCAAACATCGCATTTGGAACCTCTATGAGCAATAATATGTGTACATGGGTCCTGCCTGACTCCCTTGCTCTCTGGATGTGGCTTGAAAGAGCAGAATTAGCTCCTCCACCTACTTGAGTTCTGCATACTCATGGACTGGCAGAACACCACATTCATGCTCTGATTACTGCTGATTAACAAAATACTGAAAAACCCAGAAAAGAAAGGAAACAGAAACAACAACAACAAAAGCCTACAGTGATGTGGTCCAGCACGTAAAGGCACCTGCTTTCAAGGTCTCATGACCTGAGTTCAAACCCTGAGACTACAGATACACACGAGAGTACATAAAACAAGGAAATGAAACTCAATACCACTTAAAGTCAAATAAAAGAAAATAGAAAGTAATTGGGGCAAGCGGTCTGATGAAAGCCTGGCCTCATACACTTCTGCACAGCAAGTGTGCGCACACACACACACACTCCAAATCTAAACAAAAGCCACAACCCATCTCAGCTGATGACCTTCCCATACCCACCCCCATATTCCAGCCTCACTTACCCACATCACTCATGTTCCCAATGGCTGCTGGTGTCACCAGGATGGGAGATATGCCTGAAGGGAGTGGCTGGTCAGTCACACTCCTAAAGAAACACTGAGCATGAACTTTGACGGAGGTTGGCCGGGTGAAAATTTGATTTGCAAAGAACGACTGATTATCTCTCCTCTGCCTAATCCCAGGGCACTACACTAAAGGGAGCACTGATGGGCGACTGTAATAGTTAGGAGGAACACACACGCAAGAGAACAGACATCAGGTCACTAATAGTCAAGATAACAAAGGGGTTATGTAGTTCTTTTTTGTAGTAAATGGACCACCACAGGAAATGAAAACTACAATTTTCCTGGTGTTAGAGTCTAGAAAGAACAATAATTTTTTTGCTGATGTTACACAAACACTCAATTACTCAATTAATTTTAGCCCAGCCCCTCCCCACCACTGTTTTTTTGACACAGGGTGTAATGCCCAGCGTCCCAGGCTGGACTTGTATTCACTATGCAGCCAAGGATGACCTTGAGCTCTTGAGTTTTCTGCCTCCCTTACAAGGTCATCCTCTATCAAACATAGGAATTTTTTTTAAAAAAGATTTATTTATTTATTATGTATACAATGTTCTGCCTGCACATATGTTTGCAGGCCAGAAGAGGGCACTAGATCTCGTTACAGATGGTTGTGGTTGCTGGGAATTGAACTCAGGACCTCTGGAAGAATAGCCAATGCTCTTAACCTCTGAGCCATCTCTCCAGCCCCTCAAACATAGGAATTTAAATTCAACCTGGGCTGCAGGAATCTCTAAAACACTGCTGATGCTTCAGCAGGGAAAGGTTCTTGTTGTCAAGCATGATAACTGAGTTTGATAAATGGCCCCACACAGTGGAAGAACTGACTTCCTCAAGTATGCACTCTATGGCAGATACATGAATTGCCCACTCGTGTATGCACACACACAAACACACAAATATAAACAAAAGAAAAGAAGGAAGGAAAAAATAAGGAAGGAAGGAAGGAAGGAAGGAAGGAAGGAAGGAAGGAAGGAAGGAAGAGAAGACACAGAGGGAGAGAGGGAGAGGGAGAGAATGTAGGCCTGGGACGCATTCAGCATCTAGATGTCTTACCCAGCCATCAGTTCTTCATCATGCCGTGTGGTCACCTTCAGGTAACTCCCACTGGAGTGACCGACTAAAGCGTCGCAGGGCAGAGTAGAGGGTTGAGCACAGAACCAGAGCTCCCCAGAGACCACATCCCTGTACTGGCAGGTGGGTCCTTGGGCTCCGGTTGACTGGGGGTCCACATTGCAGATCACAGTCTCTTGAGTGCCATTCCTGCCTCGAAAATACCCCCTAAAGTCAACGGTGGCCCGTTTTCCTTTCCAGACTCTCTGTAGGACCCCGACTACCTCACTGGAGTGGATCAGCCTCACTTGCACCTGGGCTGGTCCAGCCCAGAGCAGGGGGAAGGACAAGAGGTATGTGCCATTCTCCAGATCCTTCACCTCCCCTGGGACTCCTGCCTTCAACTCCTGCCCCAACAGCTGTGCCCGGAACAGATCTCCACCATGAGTCTTGGGCCTACCCTTGTGGTCCCTAGCCACAAGAATGGCCTCTAGATTACTTCCCAGAGTATAGTTGGCCTGAGCAGGACCCTTTAAGTGGTAAGTTGAGGTTCTGGGGCTGGTGGAAGCCAAAAAGTCATCCTTGTCGCTACCAGTTGGAGGCCAGTACAGAAGGCTGGTCAGGTTGGTGAGTTCTTGAGGGAGAGAGTTCCAGTTGTTGGGCTCAGAGACATGTTTAGAGGCACGATGAGGTGGTGGGATCCAACGGTTCATGGGCTCAGGCCAAGATATCATGAGATAGAACACCTGTGGGAAACGAAAGAGGACTATGGATCTGGAATCACCGGAGACTTGGCACAGACTGCCCCTGGAGAGGTAACCATCTGGGTTCTCATTTGGAGGGCTCTGCTCTCTAGGTCCTTGCCCTGGGAGGAATATTCCATTGCCCCACCCCACCCACCAAGCCCCAGAGACCCTGAGCAACCTCCACACACTCACCACCATTCTCCACCACATCTGTGGCCACTGGAGCCTTGGGCCAGACTGTCCCTGGAGAGGAGCCCCAGAGCCTATCAGCACCCACTAGAGGCACTGATCCGCCTACAACCGGAGGAAGAGCAACCACCTAAGCCACAGGCCCTACCTTTATCAATTGGAGGAAGAAGGATCCCCTGAAGCATAGGCTTCACCTGCACCCACTGGAGGAAAGGATGGGCAGAAGTCTGTTTCAGAACACATCCAACAATATAAAGATGAATATGGTACCACCAAAACCTAGGGGTCTTACAACAAGAAGACCTGAACATCATAACCCAGAAGAAGCAGAAGAAAATGACCTTCAATATAATTTTATAAAGATGATAGAGATCCTTAAAGAGGATTGAAAAATTCCCTTAAAGAAATGGATGAAGAGACAAACAAAAATTGGAAGAAATCACTAAGTCTTCTAAATAAACCCAAGAAAGAACAATCAAAGAGGTGAGGCAAACATTTCAAACAGATCAAGACATGAAAACTGAATAGAGGCAATAAAAAAACCCACAAACGGAGGGAATTCTGGAAATGAAAAATCTGGGTAAGTGAATGGGAACTACAGATGCAAGCATAATCAACAGAATACAAGAGATCAAGAGATGGAAGACAGAATCTCTGGTGTTGAAGATACTATAGAGGAAATAGATGTATTAGTCAAAGAAAACATTAAGTCCAACAAATCCTTAAGACAAAACATCCAGGAAATCTGGGACACCATGAAAAGACCAAACCTAAGAATAATAGGGATAGAAGAAGGGGAAAAACTCCAGATCAAAGGCACAGAAAGTGGATTCAGCAAAATCATAGAAGAAAACTTTCCCAACCTAAGGAAGGAGATGCCTATGAAGGTACGAAGAAGTTTACAGAACACCAAGTAGACTGGACCAAGAAAGAAAGTCCCCTAGACATATAATAATCAAAAAACTAAACATACAGAATAAAGAAAGAATATTAAGAGCTGTAAAGGAAAAAGGAGAGCTGGGTGGTAGTGGCACATGCCTTTAATCCCAGCACTTGGGAGGCAGAGGCAGGCGGATCTCTGTGAGTTCGAGACCAGCCTGGTCTACAAGAGCTAGTTCCAGGACAGGCTCCAAAACCAGAGAAACCCTGTCTCGAAAAACCAAAAGAAAAAAAAAAGGAAAAAGGAGAAGTAACATATAAAGGCAGATTCATCAGAATTACACTTGACTACTCAATGGAAACTTTGAGAACTAGAAGGCCCTGGTCAAATATGCTGCAGAAACTAAGAGATCAGGGATGTAAGCACAGACTATTATATACAGCAAAGCTTTCAATAACCATAGATGGAGAAAACAAGTTATCCCATGACAAAACCAAATTTAATCTTTACTTATATACAAATCCAGCATTACAGAAAGTACTAGAAGGAAAACTCCAACCCAACGAAGTTAGTTACACTCACAAAAACACAGGCAACAAGTACCCTCACACCTCACACTAACAAACCTCAAAGAAGGGAAACACACGAACACTACCATTGAAAAATGACAGGAAAACAATCACTGGCCATTAACAGCTCTTAATATCAATGGACTCAATTCACCTATAAAAAAACGCAGGGTAACAGAATAGATACAAAAACAGGACCCATCCCTCTGTTGCATACAAGAAATGGACCTCAAACTCAAAGACAAACAGTATCTCAGAGTAAAGGGTTGGGAAAAGATTTCCCATATCTCAGAGTAAAGGGTTGGGAAAAGATTTTCCAATCAAATGAATCTAAGAGACAAGAGGATGTAGCTATTCTAATATCTAACAAAATAGACTTTACACTAAAGTCAATCAAAAGAAACCCCAGAGGACACTTCATACTCATCACAGGAAAAATCCATCAAGACGAAGTCTCAATTTTGAACATCTATGCCCCAAATACAAGAGCATCTACATATGTAAAAGAAACATTACTAAAGCTTAAATTGCACATCAAACCACACACACTAACAGTAGGAGACTTCAACACCCCACTCTCCCAAATGGACAGGTCTGCCAGACAGAAACTTAACAGAAAAAATAAGAGAACTAACAGATGTCCTGACTCAAATGGACTTAACAGACATCTACAGAACATTCCATCTAAACACAAAATAATATATCTTCTCTGCTCCTCATGGAACCTTTTCTAAAACTGACCACATGCTTGGTCACAAAGCAAACTTCAACAGATACAAAAAAAAATGGCATAACCTCCTGTATCTTATCAGATCACTGTGGCTTAAAGATAGAATTCAACAACACTAATTGCAGAAAACCTACAAACTTAAGGAAATTGAACAGTGCTCAACTGAATCACTCCTGGGCCAAGGAAGAAATAAAAGAGAAATTAAAGACGTCCTAGAATTCAATGAAAACGAATATACTCCGATGGGACACTTTGAAAGCAGTGTTGAGGATAGTTCATAGCACTGAGTGCCTACATAAAGAACACAGAGAAATCTCACACAAGCAGCATAACAACTCTAGAACTGCTAGAGTTCTGAGAACTCTAGAACAAAAAGAAGCAAACTCACCCAGGAGAAGTCAACAGCAAGTTGACAGCCAACATTAGATTAAATGGAGAGAAACCCAAATTGATTCCACTAAAATCAAGAACAAGACAATGTCCACTCTCTCCCTACCTATTCAACATAGTACTTGAAATTCTAGCTAGAGCAATAAGACAACAAAAGGAAATCAAAAGATTCTTTTTTTTTTTTTTTGAGACAGGGTTTCTCTGTAGCTTTGGAGCCTGTCCTGGAACTAGCTCTTGTAGACCAGGCTGGCCTCGAACTCACAGAGATCCGCCTGCCTCTGCCTCCCGAGTGCTGGGATTAAAGACATGCGCCACCACCGCCCGGCAATCAAAGGGATTCAAATTGGAAAGTAAGATGTCAAACTTTTGCTATTTGTAGATGATATGATAATATCCATAAGTGACCCCAAAAATTTGATGAGGGAACTCCTACAGCTGATAAGCAGTTTCAGTAATATGGCATGAATCAACTAAAAAAATCAGTTGTCCTCCTATATACAAATGATAAAGAAGCTGTACTGTGGAAAATGGTCTTGTACCCTGTAAAGATTTGTCACTTGTATTGGCTTAATAAAACTATGATTGGCCAGTAGCCAGGCAGAAAGTATAGGTGGGGTTACCAGAATAGGAGAATTCTGGGAAGAGGAAAGGCTCAGTCTGCAGTTGTCACCCAGACACTGAGGAAGCAAGATGAGGATGCCTCACTGATAAAAGGTACCAAGCCACATGGCTAACACAGATAAGAATTATGGATAAATGTAAGATATAAGAGTTAATTAATAAGAATCCTGAGCCAATAGGCCAACCAGTTTATCATTAATGTAAGCCTCTGTGTGTTTCTTTGGGACTGAAAAGCTGTGAGGCTAGGCGGGACAGAAACCTCTGTCAACAGAGCAGAGAAAAAATTCAGAGAAACACCACTATTTACAATAGCCACAAATAACATAAAATATCTTGGGGTAACACTAACCAAAGAAGTGAAAAACTTTTATGACAAGAACTTTAAGTCTTTGAAGAAAGAAACTGTGAAAGATACCAGAAAATGGAAAGATCTCCCATGCTCTTGGATAGGTAGGATCAAAATAGTAAAAATGGCAATCTTACCAAAAGCAATCCACATAGTGAATGTAATCCCCATCAAAAACCCAGCACAATTCTTCACAGACCTTGAAAAAACAATGCTCAACTTCATATGCAAAAACAAAACAAAACAAAACAAAAAACAGAAAAGCCAAAACAATCCTCTACAATAAATGAACTTCTGGAAACATCACCATCCCTGACATCAAGATCTACTATAGACTGCGCGGTGGTGGTGTATACCTTTAATATCAGCACTTGGCAGGCAGAGGCAGGTAGATCTCTGTGAGTTCAAGACCAGCCTGGGAGCAGCTGCCAGAGCCAGAGCCGCCGGACGGACCGCCGCCCCCGCCGCGCCATGGCCGAGAGCGACTGGGACACCGTGACGGTGCTGCGCAAGAAGGGCCCCACGGCCGCACAGGCCAAGTCGAAGCAGGCCATCTTAGCAGCTCAGAGACGAGGAGAAGATGTGGAGACATCCAAGAAATGGGCTGCTGGCCAGAACAAGCAGCATTCCATCACTAAGAACACGGCCAAGCTAGACCGGGAGACAGAGGAGCTGCATCACGACAGGGTGACCCTGGAGGTGGGCAAAGTGATTCAGCGGGGCCGGCAGAGCAAGGGCCTGACGCAGAAGGACCTGGCCACGAAAATCAATGAAAAGCCGCAAGTCATCGCAGACTATGAAAGTGGACGGGCCATTCCGAATAACCAGGTTTTGGGCAAAATTGAGAGAGCCATCGGCCTCAAGCTCCGGGGGAAGGACATCGGGAAGCCTATCGAGAAGGGGCTGAAGGCGAAATGAACACAAAGCCTCGAAGCCAGTGGTTCCGGCTGAGCTCTTCTGGCTGGTCCCCCAGGACCACCAGCACTGCCGTGGGTCTCCTCACATGGTTAAACGGAACACGGGGGTCAGGCCTGTGTGCCCCCTCAACCCATACCTGCTGTCAAACAAAGCAAAACCTTGCAAAAAAAAAAAAAGGCCAGCCTGGTCTACAAGACCTAGTTCCAGGACAGGCTTCAAAGCTAATGAGAAATCCTGTCTTGAAAAACAAAAATCTATTTTAGAGCTACAGTAATTAAAGCAGTGTGGTATTGGCATAAAAACAGACAGAAGAACCAATGGAACTGAATTGAAGACCTGATATTTAGTCACACACCT